TCTTATTTTATTTTCATTCTAATTTTTGTAATCCAGTTTGAATGGAGGATAGTGTTCAATCTCTCATAATTTATTTTTATTTTATGATTGCATTTTGGATGAATATCAAAGTTAATGAAGAATTACTTTTAGGTAAGTTTAGGATTTTGAATGATTTTACTTTAATTGTATTGTTAGGTAGTACATAGATAGTGCATGGGATTGATGATCTAATTTATGATTTTGAAATATGTGCTTGTATTACTTTATGATTAGATTTAGGATTTTGAATGATTTGTTTGTATTATCAATTGATTTTGTTGTGTTTTTAATTTTATAATTTTTAATTCATTAATTATTAATGTTGGAGCATTTTAGAAAATAGGGGGAAAATAGCCCAAAATAAATATTTATAAAATGGGAAAAAAAGGCTCAAAAATAAATTTTTAAAGAAAAAAATCCAATCCGCAAACCGTAACCGCACAAACCGCAAACCATACTACGGGCGGTTGTGGGTTGACGTTTTCCCAAATCGCATACATGCGGACGAGTCTAAACCGATTCGCAAACTGTCCAAAACTGAATCGAGAATAGCCTTATAATGCTCTTCAATTTTGACAGTTCATGCCAATTTTGTAGCATGGTATGGTCTAAATCAACTTTAATTTGCCATGCTATTTTTTTGTACAACCTTTTATTTATTTAAATTAACATTTTGGTAAAGCAGTCTTGATTTGTGCATAATAACATTCACATGTATTTGTGCATTGTATACATATTCATCTTTATAAATATAAATTTGAAGCAGATGTGATTAGAATAGAAGATGTATGTATGTACAAGTAATTTTCTCGATTTTCTTGTTATCGAAAAAATTAATTTTCATAATTTTTAACAAATACTTTGAGAAAATGATGACTTTTAAAAGTAAACTAAAAAATATGAAAGTGTGTGTTAGTTGTGACAAATAATACTTCAACAACAAAAATCTTCTTTAGATTTTTGATTCAAGTACTTGGAAGAAATGAAGATGAAGACTTTCTTAAACACACAAATAGACTTACGAATTTAAATCTTGCACCTCAAATGAAGACGACCTTTGCAAGTAGAGCAGTACTTTCAAGAAAAATTCTTCTTTTCATTTCATTCAAGGCATATTAAAAAAAGAAAAAAAAATTATATATATAATACTTTGAGAAAATGATGACTTTTAAAAGTAAACTAAAAAATATGAAAGTGTGTGTTAGTTGTGACAAATAATACTTCAACAACAAAAATCTTCTGTAGATTTTTGATTCAAGTACTTGGAAGAAATGAAGATGAAGACTTTCTTAAACACACGAATAGACTTACGAATTTAAATCTTGCACCTCAAATGAAGACGACCTTTGCAAGTAGAGCAGTACTTTCAAGGAAGATTCTTCTTTTCATTTCATTCAAGGCATATTAAAAAAAGAAAAAAAAATTATATATATAATAAGATTTTTTAGTTTTAGATAAAATTGATTTTTGTATATTATGTGTCTAACTCTATAATTATTTTTTATGTACCCAACAAGTAAATATTAGATATAATGTGATAGACGTAATCATATCAATCTCGTTTTGTGATGAAAAACACAACATATTTAGGGTTCGTTTGGGATGTGGATTGGCTTTTTGACTTATTAATTTTTTTAGCATGGAGTTAAAAAGTCTCGGTTGGGATATGTTTTTTGGCTTTTTGACTTTTGTGAAAGAAAAAATAAAAATATTATGGTTTGGATGTGATATTTTGTCTTATTGGGTTAAAAATCTTATTTTGTCTTTTTATGACTAAAATAACTAAAAAACGAAAATGCTTGACATGCCAATTGAAGGCTTAGATAAGTGGGGAGACAAGACTAGTCCACTCAATCCCCATTTATGATATTTTTTGCATGGAAACAAATTTTTTTGGTTTGCCCCTCCTTACCTATAGGATTTAAACATATCAAGGCACATTTTTTGTGAAAATAACATTACAATGCATAATTAATCTTCTATTAAATAGATTATTTTCATAGTATTAATATGCCGTGTGGAAAATTGCAATCTTTATAATGAAGTTTGACAATTGACGTATGTGTGTGGAAAATTGACGTTTGTGTGTGGAATGTGTGTGGAAAATTGTAAATACATCTTCACCCATTGACTTGAGTGTGATATTTATTTCGAGTTTTTAAATTATAATTTCACATTCATTTTTGAAACCTTCTTTCTAGGCGGGAAAATTTGTCTAATCCGATCGTCCTTCCAGACGTCTCCCTAGATGTTCGGTCGGTTGACCGGAACAGTGTAAATATATATATATATATATATATATTTTTTGGCAAATGGCACTTGTTATTTTTATATATTTTAAATAAAAATATTTGTGATTTTTTTTTAATTTTTTATGAGTTTTTAATAGAATTTTGAGTTGTGTGTTTGGTTATGAGTTGTAAGTTTTTATATCAAATAACATATGTCATATCAAATATTCCAAACTCAATTCAAAACTCTTTTCAAAATTCATAACTAAACAAATTTTTTACACTCGAATCATAATTTCAAAACTTACAAGTTCAAAATACAACTCTATTCTCAAATCATAATTTCAAAACTCTACCAAACTACTGCAATCTTTATAATAAAGTAAGTTCACGATTGACTTGCATGTTTGGGGTATGTGTATTTGTGTTGTGTAGTACTTCCTCTGTCATAAACTGATAATTCCTTTGAGAAATTTAGGGGTTATTTGGGGTGTCCTAAATAAGAGCACTTTTTAACTTTTTGGATTAAAAAGTTGAGAAAAAAATATGATTGTTTGGGTTAACTTTTTGACTTTTTACAAAAAAATGTGTATTAAAAAATTATATAAATTAGTGTGTAGGAGAATATAAGGACAGTAGGCAGTAGGCCGTACCGTTTGGGGAGTGAATTGATGATAAGAAATGGTTGCCTACTTTTCAGGCATTGCATTAAATGGTGTTGTTCGGTCCATGGGGGCCATCACGGATCCTATTTTGATAATCTGAACTGTTCATTATGTAGAACTCGTCGAGTACTATATGGCTGTAAAAAATCACGTTGATCGGATATCGATAGCTATCTGATCGGATTAGTTTTTTTTCAATCGTTAATTATAATACCATCAATTTTTTTATACAAAACTGATTTAATCATGTAGTTAGCGATATCCAATCAACGTGATTTTTTATAGACGTATAGTACTCGACGAGTTATACGTATTGAACGGTTCAGATTATCAAAATGGGACCTGTGGGCCGAACAACACTGTGTTCTTTGTACACCCCACCTGTGCAATTGTTCCAAATCATTTCAGCAACTCAGCAACCGTCTGTGGAACGGTTCAGACTGAGTTGTAATTATTTGTGTATAAAATTATTTTATTTTATTTTATTTTATTTTGATGAATAGTGATAACTTTTTAATTTTTTGGGTAACTTTTTGGCTTTTTGAATTGTTTTAGATATCCGAAACCAGCCCTTAAATTTTTTAAGGGGACATAATTATTATACTTTAAATTTAAATTTTGAAGGATAAAATTTAAAAAATATCTTTTTATTCTCATTTTTAAATATATTTGTAATTACTTTATAAGGGATAATTTTGAAAATTTTTAAATTTTAAATTTAAATTTTGATTTTTCAAAGTGGACATATATTTTGAAATAACATAAAATAAAATAATAGACCAATAAAATGGGACAGATAGAGGATGTATTTATCAGTTTGTGATATTTTTCATTTTTTTTTTTGATAAATAGATTGTGATATTTCATTCTAAAATTGTGGAGGATATTTTACATTGAGTTACTATTTGGCATAAACTAAGTGCTATTTTGGAAAGTTGGCTTCTAGCAACTTTTTTTTTTTGTTTTGTAGCAAATGTTAAAAATTGGCTTTTTTGCATTCTTTTCATTTGGGAAATTGGTTTTTAGCTACTGGTAAAATTACAATTCTATCCCTCACGAGTCAAAATGTGCTACATAATTGAAGTTGTAAATATTTTAAATTAATGGGGGTAGTTTGGTCATTTTATTATGATTTGACATCATAAACAAATATTAATAAAAAAAGCCAAAAATAACTTTTTACCAACTTCCGAAATCATTTGTCTAAAAAAGCCTAAAGCTTGGTTAAAAGCAAAAAAGCTATCTTCCCAAAATAGGCCTAAATATGTACACTTATTTAGATAAGTACATTTATTTGGGTTACATCATCTCTATATTTTTTTTCTACATCTTTTTATAAAAGTCAAAAAATATATTTATTTAAATCATCTCAAAACCCCTAAATATTATCCCTGAATATTATTTAAGGATTTCATTTTCATCTCATTGTTTGGGATGATCTAAATAAATGCACTTTTTAATTTTTTACGAAAGGATGTAAAGAAAAGTAGAGATGTGATATGACCCCAAAAAGATAAAAAGATAAAAAGTGTGTACTTATTAGTATCCCAAACTTGAAGTTTCTCACGGATGTGCCATGAATGGGAAATGCTATGGATTTTAAATAAATTATTAAATTTTTTATCAAACCTCTTACATGGTTATAAAATTTACACAAATCACATGTGTGTAAGTCCCACACCATGTGAGAGATTTAATAAAAAAATTGATAATTTATTTACGCTGTGTTTGGTTGGATGATTTGAAGAGGGATTTGGAAAGGGAAAGGGAAAAGTGAGGTGAAATGTGAATAAAATGTACCTACATTTCACCTAGTTTCACACACCTTTTCCCTTTCTCTTTCTAAATCCCTCCCCAAATCTCCCAACCAAACACAGCATTAGAGTTCCTAGCATAACTTGCCGTGAATACCAATTTTATGAACATCTTATTAAGTATTGACACGTCATGTATAATAAAATAATCAGATAGTTTATTTCATACTAGAGAGAGAGTGTTAAAACTTCCCATAACTTAACCACGGTTACAATTTTAAATAATATAAAATAAATTATAATCAATTGAATAGGGCTGCACAAAAACCCGTTTGTCTTCTCTGGTGATCGAAAACTCAGGCCTCAACTCCGTCTTCTCCGGCAAGCAAAAATCGAGAGCATCAAACGTAAAATAGAAAGACAAACGGGTAATCAAACAATTCTGTCTCAAAAAATGGCCTTGCAGAAAAGCTCCTCCTCCTCCTTCCTACTCCCCCTCTGCCTCCTCCTTGTGCTGCAGTTGCTTCTATGGCTGACAAAAACATCGGCGCAATCTCATGCGAGGTCTGGTTGTCAAGAATACTGCGGAGATGTTAGAATTCCATATCCTTTTGGAATAGGTCCCAACTGTTACTTAGATGAATGGTTCTCCATAAGGTGCAAGAGGTCAAGCAGCAACGACATCGGATTCGCACCTTACTTAATAAAGATCGATCTTGAGGTGCTGGAAATTTCATTGAATGGAAACTGCCTTCGAGTCAACAATCTAGTAACATCTCCCAACTGCCACATCAACAACAACAGCAGCAACAACCTCAACCTCAACCCCAACAACGCAAGCTCGATTTTAAGCATTGACTTGAGATCTAGCCCTTTTCGCTTCTCAGAAATAAACAACGTATTCACGGCCACGGGCATGAATTGCAGCAACCAGGGGGCCATATCACACAACTTCTCCGGTGTGCAAACTCATGTCCCTTCTGTTCTCAATTGGGTTGTACACAATATCGCACAACTTCGATTGGTTCCCGACAACAATAAAAATAGCTACTCCTGTCTTCAGGGGTCGTTGGCTTATTCTTCTATCCCAATTGGGTCGGACATGCATGATTCTTCATTGCTCGACAAGTGTGTTGTTGTTCAAACCCTCCAGTGCGTTTGCAATTTCCCCTTCTATGGAAATCCTTATTTTTCCAATGGATGTGTAGGTACGTCTTATGCTCTCTCAACCCATCTACGTAACCAACCAACCAGCTAATTGGGATATTTCTATTTATTTATTTATTTAGGAGGTAACTAATCTAATCAAATCAAATCAAACGGTTAATTTTTTTTTTGACAAATGGTAGGTTTGAAGTCGTTCTATAGTGATAGTGGTGTGTGGTGGTGGTGTTGGTGGTTGAGGAAGGGATGGATGAGTGATTGAATATGACCCATATCATATTTAAAATTAATTTCAACTACACTGGATATGTTTAATTATAAGGATTATAATATAGGATTGAGATTGTTAGTATATAAACTCACAATCTCATGTTTGATTGAGAATCATAATTTCAAGTATGAAAGAAAGAAAGAAAGAAAGAAATAAATACATAATAAATAGTTATTTTACTAATTTAATTGAATAACTAATCATATAGTAATGCATGAGATTATTAATCTGCTCACTATTAATCTTGTTAATCACACACGGCTATTATTGGAGTGATTATTGTCCAGTAATTTGTAAAGTTTGTTTTTTGGTTGATAACTACTTTAAATTTCTGATATTGCGATTGTATGCAGATACGTCCATTAAACCTCCTAAGCCAAATGCGAGGACTATCTTTAGTAAGCTCATTTTCCTTCCAAGTGTTTAAAAACATAGAAATTGAGGGATTGTTTGGTGTAATTTATGAAGCTGTTTATAACTTATTTTATTTTATTTTTAAAATTGTATGATGGAGTATTTGGTATAGTTTATGTGTATAATCTATGAAATAAAAATAATTTAAGTAAATTAAAAAAAAAAATTGATTACAAAGAAACGAGAACATAAATATTTAGAAGTGGATTCCCACTAGTCCATATTCTTGATTGTAGGATGTTGTTCAAGTCCGTGAGCTCATCACGAGTTCTATTTTAATAATCCAAACTGTTCATTGTGCCGTGTACTTTGTATATTTCATCCATACAAAAAATTTAAGTAAATCTGATAATAATATCCTATTTAATTTATTACATTTGTTATCAAAAAAATAAACTACAATTGTATTTTTAAAAATAGACCCTTTTTTTTTTGTAACAAATGCAATAAATTGAATATGTTATAATTATCGGATCGATTTAATTTTTTATGTAGATAATATACACGAACTATCAAACAAAATAAATAGTTCGGATCATAGAATGAGACCCATGGTGACCCTCACGGGCCCGAACAACACCCTCCAATAAAGACTCCAAATTCAAATATTTATTTTTGATTAGTCTACACTCTTTTACTCATTTCTGTCTTCACGTTTTGAATCTTGATGTAAGGCTATAACCATTAGAAAGTTTAGTTCCCAGGCTTCAGTTTAGACACAAAATTGATCTAATTTCGACTCCGGAAGCACTACAAAAAAACCACGATTTAGTAGCGGCCAAAACTGTCGCTAAAAGCAGAAAAAAGCGTCGCTAAAAACTGAAACACCTTTACCCGCGGTTGCAATAGTGGCGGCCAAACCGCCGCAATAGCCCCGTCAAATAAATAGTTCGGATCATAGAATGAGACCCATGGTGACCCTCACGGGCCCGAACAACACCCTCCAATAAAGACTCCAAATTCAAATATTTATTTTTGATTAGTCTACACTCTTTTACTCATTTCTGTCTTCACGTTTTGAATCTTGATGTAAGGCTATAACCATTAGAAAGTTTAGTTCCCAGGCTTCAGTTTAGACACAAAATTGATCTAATTTCGACTCCGGAAGAAGGAGACATGCCTATTTGGATTTTTGATTATCAATTTTCAACTTTCAAAAAATTGCACCAAATAAGCCGATTATCATAACTTAGTATCCAACCTAATGGACCATCTAATTCGGGGATCAATCTCACTGTTCACTAACGGAGAGCTCAATTAAAAAAAGAACAAAGCCCCGTATCAATATTTATCATTCATTTTTAATAACTTCTTTAATTTAAAATTTTTAAATCACAAACAAATAAAAAATTCTGATAAATTAATGTTATTGTTTCAACAAAATAAATATTATATACAATTGCTTTTGACAACCATAATCTTGGTAGAGTTTAAAATCAGCTCTCTTTTTTTTCTTTCTTTCAAATTTTGTGGCCAAATAATTCAGCATAAGTTATGTTTACAAAAAAATGTCCAGTTTTATTGTTATTTATTTATTTATTTTTTTATGTAAGGATAGATTTTTAGTAAATTTGTTAGTACTCAGAAAAATAAAGTGTATAGAGTTGATACATTTTGAGTATGTCCACACAACATCAACTTTAAATATATACACCATCCATTTCATTTTATGAATTACACATGACTTTATAAAATTAAAAAATAATTAAATTTTTTGCTAGAGTTGAGTTCTATATGTATTGATTCTGGAGTTGAGTTCTCTACAGGTCTTTTTATTGTTTCTTGGTGGGTGTCATAGCCCTGCTCACATTATATATCTATAACAACACTATTTTATTCTAATGGCTCAATGCTCAATAATTGTAAAAGGTGAAAGAGTCTGCATTTTCATAATCCCAAAATATCCAAAACACCTTAATTAAAAGGTTCATTACATAAGCCTGCAATACAAAAAGATCCAATATTTCTAGCAATAAAACTGGACATTTTTTTGTAAACATAACTTATGCTGAATTATTTGGCCACAAAATTTGAAAGAAAGAAAAAAAAGAGAGCTGATTTTAAACTCTACCAAGATTATGGTTGTCAAAAGCAATTGTATATAATATTTATTTTGTTGAAACAATAACATTAATTTATCAGAATTTTTTATTTGTTTGTGATTTAAAAATTTTAAATTAAAGAAGTTATTAAAAATGAATGATAAATATTGATACGGGGCTTTGTTCTTTTTTTAATTGAGCTCTCCGTTAGTGAACAGTGAGATTGATCCCCGAATTAGATGGTCCATTAGGTTGGATACTAAGTTATGATAATCGGCTTATTTGGTGCAATTTTTTGAAAGTTGAAAATTGATAATCAAAAATCCAAATAGGCATGTCTCCTGTACACAACATCAACTTTAAATATATACACCATCCATTTCATTTTATGAATTACACATGACTTTATAAAATTAAAAAACAATTAAATTTTTTGCTAGAGTTGAGTTCTATATGTATTGATTCTGGAGTTGAGTTCTCTACAGGTCTTTTTATTGTTTCTTGGTGGGTGTACAAAATAATGGAGAAAATAATGAAGAAAATAAATGATGAGCAACGCGAAATAAATGACAAGCAACGCAAGGAAAATTTCTTCAAGCGAAATGGTGGTTTCTTGCTACAACACAAGTTATCTTCAAGTGATGGCAGTGAAAAAATCAAATTGTTTAATTCGAAGGAGTTGGAGAAAGCCACCGATCATTACCATGAAGATCGTATTCTCGGCCAAGGAGGCCAAGGTACAATTTTGTTATCCTTTCATTATCTAAAGCTTACAACTAATTTGTTATCTTGCATTGATTTCTTACCAAACATCTTGAGACCTTTTTATACACGGATCCTCCTTTGGGTTGGATAAGGGTCAAGAATATGAGGGCACTATGAATTTTTTATGCCAAAGTTAGCACAACACTCGTATAATATATTTACCTATGCATACAGACACGTGTATTGGACTTGTATAGCATGGTGAGCATGTATGAGCCAATATTTGTCATAATATTTTTATTGAAAAATCAAATGCAATCTTTCCTAATTAATTTAACCATAATTAAGTAGTTATGCTATTTCATAAATCCAGGATTTGATTTGCAGCAAAATTTATGATTTTTGTTTTTTCTAATTTCAATAAGATTTCTTTATTGTTTATTTTTCTAAATTTTTTTAATCAACCACTTACTTTCAATTAATTTTCCAACAGGTACTGTTTACAAAGGCATGTTGTCAGATGGAAGAATCATAGCTGTTAAAAAGTCTAAGGTTGTCGCCAAGGGACAAGTTGAGCAATTCATCAATGAAGTCGTCATTCTTTCACAAATTGTCCATAGGAATATAGTCAAGCTCTTAGGTTGTTGTTTAGAGACAGAAGTTCCAATGCTAATATATGAGTTCATTCCAAATGGAACACTCTCTCAACATATTCATGATCCAAACGAGGAGTTCCCACTTTCATGGGAGATGCGCTTTCGGATTGCCATAGAAGTTGCTGGAGCTCTTTCCTACTTACATTATGCAGCTTCCATACCCATATATCATCGAGACATGAAGTCAACCAACATACTCTTGGATGATAAATATAAAGCAAAAGTTTCTGATTTTGGAACTTCAACATCGATTGATGTTGATAATACTCATTTGACCACACGAGTACAGGGGACATTTGGGTACTTTGATCCAGAGTACTTTCGATCGAACCAATTTACTGATAAAAGTGATGTTTATAGTTTCGGAGTTGTTATTGTTGAGCTTTTAACTGGGCAAAAACCAATCTTTTCCACTAGATCCGAAGAAAGCAAGAGTTTAGTCACACATTTTATGGAATCAATGGAGGAAAATTGTCTACTTGAGATTCTTGATCCACGGATTCTCAAGGAGGGTCGGAGAGAAGAGATGATTGCTGTTGCTCACCTCGCAAGAAGATGCCTAAACTTGAATGGAAAGAAAAGGCCTACAATGAAAGATGTAGCAGTTGAGTTGGAAGGAATTAGAATGTCACAAGGAAGTTCAACCATTCACCAACACTATAAGAAGTTGAATACAGTACAACTGATTTGACTGAGAGGCTTTGGATGTTGCTTCAACCTGAATAGGTGCATTTTTAGATAGTGGGAGTGGCACAGCTTTATCGTTTGATGTCCGACCACTTTTGCATACTATGTAGTTGGTATAAACTATACATATAATGCTTGTCCATGCTAGATATTTACCATAAAGCTTTGTTATTCAAATGTTAATTATGTACTAGTATGTAACGTTACAAACATATGTACTAATTACTTATGCTTTGGATTGGCAATAATAGTAGTTTTCTACACCATATTTTCTATTGACAAAATCATTCACCAAGAACAAACTGGATTCATTTGTTTGATCGAATACCCAAAAAGCTGCTCTGATCTTGATCAAATCCACAACATTAATCCAACTAGATTGAGCTCTATTGAAGATGATATCATTCCTGTGTAGTCCATAAAGTCTTAAATAGTCGCAAAGAAAAGTTATTTCCATATTTGTTTCTCCAAATTGGAGTAACCCCACATAAACCACCACTCTCAAAATCTCAGTCCAGACTTTCCGAGCGAAGTTACATAAAAGGAGAGGATGTTTAGTTGATTCCTCATGTGCGATATAAATCGCAGAAAGACTTGACAAAAAAAAATAAATAATGAACACCATCTTTGCCTCTCTTCCAAATTAAGTTGTCCTCAGAATTGAGTCTCAATTGGACTGCTTCCAATAAGTTGAGTAATATTCCACATGATTCTCTTTTTTCTCATCAAATAAAGATTTCTAAATCTGAAATCCCAAACTATGTTGTTGTTCTCATCAAACAAACAGAACTCGGCCATACTCTACAATCTTTTTGCAAAGAAGGTTTAAAAAGTCCAGAAAATTTGTGTTTGAAGAAACAATTATGAGACCATTTATCCTTTCAAAACCTTATCTGCAATCTGTTTTACAGTTTTAAGTTGAAGTTTTCATTTTAACACTATCCCAACTCTATCAATCATATGACTCTGGCTAACCTCCACAATTCCTTTCCATAAACCAGAAATAACACCTTCTCTCATTAGTAATGGGATCGATCATTCATTCCCATTCCCATTCCCATTATATTTGTGAACAATAAGCTTCCTCCATAAAGAGTCCTTTTTTCTCTCCCGAATCTTCACCATCATTTTGACAAAAGGGATGAATTCTTTAGTCATACAGGAATAACATTCAACCCGCCAAACTCCTTTCCTGTTGTCACTTTTTCCCAATTCACCGAATTAATCTCTTCACAACCACCCGCAAAGAAATCATCTTTATAATTTATCCATTCTATTTTCCACTGTTACATGCATTCTAAAAAGCAAACAAGTAGTACATTGGTAAATTAGACAATGTTGCCTTAATCCATGACACCCTTCCAGCAATTAGCCAGTCTATCCCTAAATCATCAAATTTCTCTGCATATTTGTAATCTAAAGGACTGTAGTTGTGGTTCCTATGGTATTGGATTCAAACTCTTACATTTAATGGTGTGGGGATATATTCTCTGAGTACTAACACGCAGCTAAGGTGACGCTGACGTGTCACCAGAGATGCCACGTGTCCTGGTCATGACGCTGAGGTTATCTCAGCGAGGCCGAGGTTACCTCCGAAGATATCGGAATCCGAGATAAGCGGATAAGGCACGAGAGTCTTAGAAAGAGGGAAGACTACAGTTGGGACATGATAAGACTCTTAGGGAGTTTATCCCAATCCTACTGGGAGTCCAAGATTAATAGTAATCCTAAGTCCATTAGAGCTAGGCTCCTGCTGGGACAAGGGTTGAGTTAGCTATAAAAGAGAGGCACCCCCGTGGGTCTAAGGTATGCAATTTATGTTCTGAACAGTGAATTTAGCACTATTGATTATCTTTGAGAGATATACTGACTTGATCGTCGGAGTTCACCCTTCTAGCAATTAGCCAGTCTATCCCTAAATCATCAAATTTCTCTGCATACTTGTAATCTAAAGGACCGTTATTGTGGTTTCTATGGTATTGTATTCAAACTCTTACATTTAATGGAGTTCCACATCAAACAGTGAGGAATGCTGATGAAGTCTTCTGTGCTCTAAAGAATTTCTCAAAAAACTTTATTTATTTATTTATTATTAGAGAAATATTATTTATCAATAGTAAACTACTTTGCTGATATAAAACAGAAGTCTTTCTGTTATTAGTGTAGATTGTGGTCAATTATGACAGCTGAAGAATCTCAAGACTTCTTCTACATAAACATTTGGCAGAGGTTGAGACGTCTCTGTTTAATTCACACTACTACCTAATCAAGAGGGAAATAACATAAAATATGCAAAATAAAAACAACATAAAAACTATAGACGAAGAATAAACAAAAGAAAAGAAAAGAAAAGAAAAGAAAAGAAAAGAAAAGCATGGTTTCGCAGAAAAACTCCTTCTCCTGCTGTTGCTGCTATGGCTGACAAAAACATCGGTGCTTTCTTATGCGAAACCTGGTTGTCCAGAATACTGCGGAGATGTTAGAATTCCATATCCTTTTAGAATAGGTGCCAATTATTACTTAGATGAATGGTTCTCCATAGGGTGCAAGAACTCAAGTGACAACAACAACGGAGTCGCACTGTACTTAATAAGACCAATCTTGAGGTGCTGGAAATTTCATTCAATGGAAGCTACCTTCGAGTCAACAATCCAGTAACATCTCCCAACTGCCCCATCAACAACAATGTAAACTCAACTTTAAGCATTAACTTAAGATTTAGCCCTTTTTCGTTTTGCAGAAACAACCAATGTATTCATGCCCACGGGAATGAATTGCAACAACCAGGAGGCCATATTGACTGATGTGGACAACAAAAGGATTACCAATTGCTCGTCTACTTGCGATTCTATTAATAATATTAATATTAGTTCCTACGCTGTCGAAATCTCACTGTATGTGCAGTACCTGCAGGGCTACAAGGTGAATTTGAGAAGCACAAACAACAATACTCAGAGTGGAGGTGGAGTCCAAACATCATGTGTATATACGCTCTTGGTAGATGCCCAAACACAAGTGTTGACTGGTGTGAACAAGAATTTCAGTAAGGCTGTCCAAACTCATGTCCCTGCTGTTCTCGAATGGGTAGTACAGTACAATACCACACAACTCGGATTGGCTCCCGACAACTACAAAAATAACTACCCCTGTCTTCCGTGGTCGCTTGCCTATTCTTCTTTCTCAGACAGCAAGTGTGTTGTTATTCAAAGCCTCCAGTGTATTTGCAATTTTCCTTTTCTTGGAAATGCTTATTTTCCCAAGGGTTTGGCTACCTTTCAGTCTGTGATTGGATTGAAGGATGCTGTTGGGCCTGTGACAGGTCCCGTTTCGATAATCCGAACTGTTCAATAAGTAGAACTCATCAAGTACTATATCCCTGTAAAAAATCATGTTGATCGGATAACGAAAACTACGTGATCAAATCAGTTTTGTATAAAAAAATGGACAGTAAAAAAATAAACGGTTGACAGAAATCTGATTTGATGAAACAGCTATCGATATCCGATTAATGTGATTTTTTACAGGCATATAGTAATCGACAAGTTCTACATGTTGAACAGATCGGATTATCGACACGGGACCCGTGGTGGGCTCCCATGAGCCCAACAGCACCCTCCAGGCCGATCACGGATTGGAGGAAACCAAACCCTTTTCCCAATGAGGTAGCAAATTTAAGTAGTAACTGTGTACTTTGCTATCTTAAATACAAATTTGTTACCTTAATTTGTGACTTTTGAAATTTGGTTTTTCAATAAAATTAGCAAATTTTATTGTGGACAAGTCTAAATTGATGAACCACTTTAAAGAAAATTTTAATGAGAAAATAATAATTTGCCATTTGTGTTTGATGCATCAAAGTTATAAAAAGACTTTTATTTCCGTTTCATTACCTGTCTAAAAACACACATAGATTTTTGTTTGAATTTTCTTATATTTTTGGCATTTTTTTTATTTTATATTTTAGTTAATTTTTAAAACTTTTAGAAACATCTAGATTAGTTGTATTTAAAAAATATATCTATTGATTAAAATATAAATCATCTAAAAACAATTCACTTGGAGATTAGCTACTCGTAAATATATTGTTTACATGTACATTCGCAATTTGAGTGATTAGAGTAGTGTTAGGTGCATGAAATTAGAATACAAAATCTATGGTAAAAATACATTGTGTGACCAAGATTTATTTTAAATATGGACATACTCAAAATGATACCAAATAGAGTGAAAGGAATGTGTTTGACTCACCTATGAATGAGGTAGAGGCCATGTATATATAATATATTCATGATACAATTTAAGAAACAAGATAAACAAGGCTCTAAATCCGTGATTCATACAATGACAAATTTTATACAATCTATTAAAAATAATTTGGTTTCAATTTTCTGGATTCAATTTTCTGAAAATTGAGTCTTTTGTTTTTTTGTGTTTTTTTGTTTTGAGTGAATATTTTTAAAATTTTAAGATTTTTTTTTTTTTTTTTTTTACTTTTTTAGATGCACCTTACTTAGATGTATCTAAAAAATGAAATATTTGGCAAGTACCACCATAGTTCCTTTCCTAGTTGTAGTGTTAGTCGTGTGTCTGCGTCTTTTGACGAAGTCCATACAGACATATGGGGTCCATCTCGGACATCCACTATTAATGGCTTTCTTTATTTTGTTATTTTTGTGGATGATTACTCTCGGATGACTTGGTTGTTTTTACTCAAGCAGCGGTCTGAATTACCCCAAATAATTTCAAGTTTTAAAATGAAATTTTTACTCAGTTTGGGAAACGTATTAAAATATTCTGATCTGATAATGCCTTGAATATATGCAGTCTACTGTGGATCTTTTTTGTGTTAATCGTGGTGTTATTCATCAGACTAGTTGTGTTCAAACATCACCCCAAAATGGTGTTGTTGAGCAGAAACACCGCCATTTTTTAGATATTACTCGCACATTGTTTAACATGCACGTTCCTAAACAGTTTTGGGGTGATGTTGTGCTCACTGCTTGTTCTCTTATTAACCGCATGCCCTCGGTTGTGTTACAAAACCAGTCTCCCTTCTCTCAATTATACCCTGACTGTTCCTCGTTTCCTCTTTCTCCTCGTATTTTTGGTTGTGTGGCTTTTGTCCATGTTATCTCCTCGTGCTCTTAAGTGTGTGTTTTTAGGGTATTCTCGTACTCGAAAAGGTTACCGGTGTTATCACCCTGAGTTGCGTCGGTTCTCTATCAGTGCTGATGTTACCTTTTTTGAGTCCACCCCATTTTTTTCTTTGTCTGGGTAGC